AAAAAAAAAAAAAAAAAAATTGTTTACTAATTCTGGAATAAGATACAATTTAGGTAATAAATCACATATTTTTTTTTGTATCTCAAGATATTCATATCATATCTTTGTACATATATATCATACATTTGTACCTAAAATATCGATATCTATCACATTCCTAACAAAACATTAGATTTATTTATATATTTTTAAAAATCACATCAATAAATAATATTAATATACATTAAATATTTATCAATATTTTTTAAAAAAAAGAATATTACTTCTATAAATGTTATAAATAATATTGACATTATACGACAATAATTTTTTAAATAAAATAATATTTGAGTATTATGATGAACCCAAATATGTAAAATTATTTATTTTATGTTGAAAAAATAAATATATATTTAAAATATTCTTTATATTAAAATAAACGTATCAACATGCTAATACATTATTAAAATAAAATTTTTGCAAAAATATTTTATTTTTACGAAATCTCATCGGACGGAATTCTCACTAGTATTTATAACAAGCTAGGTCTTTTTTTCTTTCTCAAGAGGAACAACAGCTAGCGCCGGAAGGTCCTCGATTGTTCTACAAGATTTTAGTTATGTATGCCCCTCTTTCCTTCTTCAGAAAAATCATGACAAATCAATAAAAATTATTATTATTATCTTTGTTATAAGTAAGTAAATTAAGTATATTGAAATAAAAAATGAAAATAAACAACCCAATTCCACACGGCACCCCTCGCCATTATATATAATATAATGGTGATTAATAATCATACCTCTCCACAAATACCATAACTACACCGCGGCTTTTGACATCGTTTTAAACAAAACCCAAACTACGAAGAAAACAGCAATGGATTCCTTCACATCCTTCTTCGATTCGCGAGCGAGAACTGGCTGGAATTACGAGTCCCTCAAGAATTTCAGGCAGATCTCCCCCGTTGTCCAGACGCATCTCAAGCAGGTTCCGTTTTCGATTTGCTTTTTTTTTTTTTTTCGATTACGTTTTGTGTATCTCGTGTTTAATCGTGTGTTTTTTGATCGGGTTGAATTGTTGTTTCAAGATCTCAACGAATTTGTGCGCAATTTGGTGTTAGTTTCACTTGGTTCTGTGATTTGTGAACGTATTTGATCGTTTCCGTGAGTTAGGGTTTAGGTTTTAGAACAGATCAGGTGTTGTTCGAGAGAATCTTTGTTTTCCATTGTTTGTATGCAGTTCTCTTTTATTCTTGGTTTTTGATTCCTCTTGTGGTCGTGCGGGAGGAACTTTGAATAAATAAAATGTGAGGAGTAATTTGAGATCCAAATGTTATTCAGGTTTATCTCGCGCTATGCTGTGCACTGGTTGCGTCCGCTGTTGGAGCTTATCTCCATATTATTTGGAACATTGGTGGTTTCCTCACAGCTCTCGGATTGCTGGGTTGCATTATCTGGCTATACTGTGAACCTGTTTACAAAGAGGTAGTTTGTTTATCTCGGAATTTGTTTGTTCCTTCTGTAGTTATAGGGAAAGTTATATGTGTGACTGTTGCCTTTTTTCTCTTTGGTGCTTACTACTCTTTATGTGCAGAGAAAGAGAGTTTCACTTCTTATGGCAGCAGCTGTCTTTGAAGGAGCTACGGTCGGTCCTTTGATTGACTTTGCCATTGATTTTGACTCAAGGTAGATATTTTTTGACGAAACTTGTGTTATCGAGAATTTGAGATGCATCTTTTAGCCTGTTGCCATTGGAGCATGCTAATATTTTCTTACGGTTGTTGAACTTTGGCTGATGGAATTTTCGTTGTCAGTTAAGTTGCAAAAATTTTGCTTCATTGATTTGTTTTAGGGAGTTCCCTCTCTTTCCAGTATTATGCTTTGCCATTAGTCTGTTTTTTACCAATTTTTCACACTTGATTTAACACACTGCACATCAATATAAAAACCTCAGAATGTGTTCTACATGTCTGAGCTAGGCTAAGTTCCTGAAGCATGAGATGCCTTGTGCAGTATCTTCTATTGTCTTCTCAGAAAGTGTGCATTCATTATTCGCATTATGTCTTAGAAACCTGGAAGATTATTTCATTTAAGTCACCTGCCCCAAAATTCTATTTGTTTACCCTTGTTTGGATATGAGTGTGATTAATTCAACTACTGCACTTCACACTTGTAATGATTTACACCCATGAAATTTGAATGGTTATATCATCAATGCAATGCTCATGTATTTCCTGTGCAAGAAGGTTGATGAATTGGTTTTAGCTACATCTCACGTGTGTTGTTTGCTCCCTTTTTGTAGCATTCTTGTCGGAGCTTTTGTCGGTTGTGCGTTGGCCTTTGCTTCTTTCTCTGTAGCTGCCATGGTGGCCAGGCGTAGGGAGTTTCTGTACCTTGGGGGTTTGCTTTCTTCTGGTCTCTCCATCCTCCTGTGGTTGCATTTTGCATCCTCTATTTTCGGTGGTTCAATGGCTCTCTTCAAATTCGAGGTATCAAAATGTGTTTTCCAATTCATTCCGCAAAATACAATCACATAAAGTAAACATAAATATTGATTCACTGCACTCTCTTGCAGCTGTACTTTGGGCTCCTGGTTTTTGTCGGCTACATAGTAGTCGACACACAGGATATTATCGAGAGAGCACATCTGGGTGATCTGGATTATGTGAAACATGCTCTTACCCTATTCTTTGACTTCGTTGCTGTGTTCTTAAGGATTCTGATCATCATGGTGAGTGCCTTTTGTTTCTGAATACATAACAAACTCGTTATATTTGGTCTTTATGTGATAGTAGTTTCTAATTGTCGTTTTGTGGTTGTGAACTTTCACGATGCATTGCAGCTGAAGAATGCGAGTGAGAAGGAAGAGAAGAAGAGGAAGAAGAGGAGAGACTGATATGACTAACTAACCCAAACAAGTGGTGAAATAATTGGGAATCTGTGTTGGAAAATGAGTTTTTGTCTATAAACATGCTTCTTTTAGGTGTGGTGTGATTAACACTCTTTTGCTTGATGCATAATGATGTAATACTTTTGCTGTTAGACACCAGACCTCGAATATTTCTAACAGACCTCGAATATTATGTGGCATTAAACATCTCTTTCTGTTTCTTCACACAAATGTTATTGTTAGACTGCCTAATTGATAAACAGTTGACACTTATGAAAAGTGGATGCTTGTTCTTATAAAATGTCGTATTTTTGTTATAGTATTTTATAAGTTCGACATTTAATACATAAGTTAAAAGATTATGACTTTAGGCATCATAATGTAAAAATTACCTATTTATTAATAATAGTCCGTGTGGAGTTCGGTATCTTTTGCAATTTTCTTGACAATGGTCAATATATATTGCTGAACCTAGTTGTTTTGGCTTTTATAAGGTATTTGATTTGATTATAGAGTAATTAGTGCCCAGGTGTGAAATTTGAGTCTTAATCATAGTTTTTAATCCCAGCCCGGTAATCGACACAGGTAGGTCTCCGGGTCACTGGGTAACCGGTTCAACCGCTGAGTCATCGAGTCAATTGTTAAACTGGATAATTAATTTTAAAATTTTTAAAATTATATATAGAGTATTTTGTCATATAAATATACATGTAAATATACATAGAAGTAACAGAATTAAATGTTTTGTATGTAAAATTTGTAGATTAAAGTAGTAATAATATGTATATATGTACATGCATAGTTTTATTTTTTAAATATATAAAAAAAAAAAATATATATATATAGGGACCGGAACCAGGTCACAGGTTGACCCAGCTGGGTCAATGCCCCGGGTTGACCGAGTCAAGGGCGGGTTGGCCGAGTTTTGACTGGGTTTGACCGGGTCCTTTGTTGCCCGGTTCAAATAGCCCACCCAGATCGGTTCGGCTTCGGATCGACCCGTCGGTCTGGTCCGAGTTGAAAAACACTGGTCTTAACTGTCTTTGGAGAAAATTCTCAAATAAATAACTTAGTTAGCAAGATAGTTTAGGAACTTGATTGCATATATCAACTAAACATATGTACCAATAGAGAAATGTCAAACTCAGTTCAGTATATTATGTTACCCTTTAAAACCATAATATTAATATCGATAACTAACTAGTCGAGGGGAAAGCATTGGAAGTGTTGAGACTTAGGACTTCTTGCAGTGATGTATATCAAAGCCAAACTCTAGAAGACCAAATTACAATTGTGGGGAAAACAAAGAAGAATATGCAAAATAGTTATGCAAAGATCACATTACAACTATGGGGAAAACTAAGAAAAAAATGCAAAATAGTTATGCAAACCAACCACTACGTCTATACTTGATAAACTTAGCTAATAAGCTTGTCTATAGTTTCTAAGTGATTTTTATTTTATTTTTTTTTTGGAAAGAAACCCCCCCGGAAGAGTAAGGAAGAGAATTTTGAGTTTACAGCTTATAGCTTTTGACATATGGGTGAAAAACTTACTTATATGATAAGTGTATGGTAAAATTAGCTAATAAGCTAGCTGGAATAAAACTTCAATGAGCTTATTTGAAAAGTTGTCCAAGAAAACTTATGAGATAAATTTGAGTTTTTTAGAAAGCTCGTCCTAAAACCAAATTTATTTGAATACAGAGAGCTAATAAGCTAATAAAATAAGTTGTAATTTAGCTTATATGCTTACCAAACACAACCAGCAATTCTTTGTTCATAAGTTTTGTTGTTGGCCATTCTAACAGTTATGTGAGATGATCTATCATACTTATTAAACAAAATGCAAGTTTTCTTTTGTATAATGAGCAACTTTGTCTAGGGGCACAAAGAATATGAAAATAGATCTAATATAAATAATTGTGCTTACTATTGTTGGGCAAAAACTCAAGAATGACAAAAGAAAACTTTTGCAATAAAACATGACTAATTCTTTTATGATGTGGAAAATTAAACTGCGACCACAAAGCATATTAAGAATATCCCAAATAAATAAAATATGCAAAAAAAAAGACACCAAGATTTAACGTTGAAAAAACCTCCAGTGTAGAGGAAAATCACAGGACAACATCTGAACAATTCCACTATATTTTCATGAGAATTACAATATCTTTTCACACACTCCCCTACACTAGAAATGTAAGTTATAGTGACTAAGTGAGACCTCACTCCTATTCAAATATTACAAACACGGAGTAATAGAGATGATACCCAACCCGGTGTATTTTTTCCACTCACAAGATTTACTTAAACACTCTATTTTTCTTTCACTGAAAAATCTAACGCTCCAGAAACTGAATGTTGTTTTTGTTTCTTATTTTTCTTCTCGCTCTTAGTGTGTCTTTGTTCTGTTGAATGCCCTCTCTATTTATAGAGGGGGGAAGTGCATGGGAACTAAATGAATCAACTCTTTTCTTCCAATAATGCGGCTATCTATTTTTCTTCAATCATGGTGACATGGTGTGCAGCCGTCTTCTTTGACTTTTCTCTATTTTTTTTTTTCTTTTATTTGGACTGGACCTACAATTCTCTCGCTCCAGCCAAATAGTAATATACTGCAAATTTACATGCATTCCATGTCGATCAGCTCGACATAAAGCTGAAGCTTTTCCCTTGTTACAACTTTCTTCATCATGTCAGCAGGGTTTTCGCCAGTGTGAATCTTTTCCAACTTGAACTGTTATTCTTCCACTGCTTAGCGCAACCAATGATATCTAACATCGTTGTGCCTCGTGCGAGAATGGTACATCGCATTCTTTCTTAAATCCAATGCGCTCTGGTTTACTTTTTTCTTCTGGTAGATGTCGTTTCTTAAATTTTATGAGGGATGCCGTATCTTTGCGAACTTTAGGTTAAGCGAGGAACTCTGGTTTACTCTTTTCTTCTACATTAAAGTCAAGACTTCAGACGGGTTAGGCCTTATGTCGTAAGAAGGCAAGGGAAAGTTACAGCTCTAGACGGATTGGGTGGGGCGCCGATACCCTGTAGAGTCCATTCTAGGAAAATTGGAGTCAGGATGTTTCCCAATGAAGTTAGGACCTTGAGATGGATCGAGTTTACAGCATCTTTTAGGTCGAGTTTAAATAATTTAAAAGGGAGGTCGGGCTAGAGTTATTTCTCATTTTAGGAATTTTAGGTAGATGAGGCAATATGTCGTGTTTTCGAGAACTTTTTAGTTTGAACGAGCAAATTTATGCATTCGTCGAACATCCGCACAAGAGTTAAGACCCCGGGAAGGTTATGCCTTAGTTCGTAAAAATGCGTGGAGAAAGCTCTGGACGTATTGGGCAGGGCGCTAGTACTCTCTGTAGAGTTAACTGTAGGCGGATCGAGGTTAGGACTTTTTCGTCAAGCTCAAAACTTCGGGCGGATTTAGGCTTATGTTATGCCTTTTTGCCGCCAAATTTATAAATTTTAGGAAGATCGAGCTAGATCCCTTTATTGGTCTATTAGGTTGATGTTATCCTTTAAAATTTTGTGCAGACCGGGCAAGACACCGCATTTCTGGGGACTTTTAGTTTGGTCGGGGAGATTTTAGGCTTACACCTTTTATTGATACGGAAGTTGGGACTTCGGACGGGTCAAAACTTATGTCGTAACGACACGTGGGGGAGTTATAGCTCTATACGGACTGGGAAGGGTATTGATACTCTCTGTAGAGTTAACTTTTAGGTGGATGGGGTTCGGCCCTTTCCTGCTGAAGCATAAACTTTGTGGCTTATGTTTTTTTATTCTGTCAACTGGTTCCCTAGATGAACATGAACACTGGCGGATCCAGCCTAGTTTGTTGGGGTCACAGGCCCCCAACAAATTGAAGATGCTAAAGAACAATATTGAAGATGCTTAAGAATAATTCATGTTAGAGGAGGGCCGAGACGGTGTATTGGGAGAAGGGATTAGAGCCATAGTATCGTGGGCCCCCATTACATAAATGTCATGGATCCGCCGTTGAACATGAACCACTGGCATGCGTAAAATTTGAAAGTGTGTGTGTATGTGTGTGTTTATGTGTGTTTTATTTATTTTACTTGTATGTATGTTTTGACTTAAATAGAGTCACCATGATGAGGATAAAAAATATTGGTTATCTCTTATATGCATTTGGCTATATTTACTTTATTGAGCATGGGGCTTATTTCAACTAGGAAAATGTTACATGTACATAATAAATGTACATAAAGGTGTACATAACACTCACATGGAGTAGTGTCCACTTGATTTTGTATTTTTAGTGGGTCCCACTCAATGTGAGTGTTATGTACACCCTTATGTACACTATTATGTACTTGTAGCATTACTCTTTCAACAATACAACTATGGTATATTATACCATTGACGCCTTTGGCTCTTAACATGGCCAATAAACCATGTAAATTCATCTGCTCTCTTTCATAGGTTAATTATATAACTTTGCCACCTTCGTACCATCTCTCAAATGGCTTGTGACAAGAAAAATGCATCAGACTACCAACAATGAATTCAATCGAGGTTTCAAAACATTTACACATGTCAGCCCCATAATAAAATACACGGTTTAGACCCATTGCACTGCAATATAAAGAACGTCCACATTTTGTTTTTGGTTAGATAAAAAACTAGCCCACCAAAATTTATGACCTCAGTAATGTATATGGAATCAATTTTTATGAATATTATGATTCTATGTGTGTGTTTGTTTTGGCTACAGACATTGTTAGCCAATACGATATTCATATAATTGCACCTATGTATGCAAGTTCTACAACATTCTATTTG